ATTCACGCTGAGCAGCAAGACATGGACCTGCAAGAGGAGCGGCACAAGAAGAAAACGCCAGTACCCGAATTTGCGTTCCACACTCAAAGGCGCTACAACAGCAACAACAACCGGCACCAACCAAAACCAGTACCTCCATTCTGCCATATCTGCAAAACATCAGGGCACCCTCGCACACACTGCCCGTATCGACAGCAGTCAACTCCGCCGCAGCGCCAACTTCGTCCTTCAAGTAATGAAGTGGCGTCCACGCAGGCGCAACCCGCAAGCCAGCTGCAGTCTTCAACAACATCGCCAACACAACCTGCACAAGGAGCAAGAAAAATCGTCAGTTGTATGGCAAGATTGTCAGACTCCTGCATCACTGAATCGCCACTGCACTACTCATCAGAAGAACAACTTGATGAAAGAACTCTGCGCCGCGAGACACTGGAGCCGAACCCGACATACGCAGCTATCGCTCAGAGTGAGCCGTCCGGGAAAGACACCTGGTTCTTAGACAGTTGTTGCGGACAGCATATGTGCTCCTCGGGTCGCTTCGTTCAACGAGAACACCAACTTCAGCGCGAAGTTGTCATCACCGTCGCCAACAATCAGAACCTGCGTACACGACGACAAGGCGTAGTGCAACTTCAGTCACGAGAGACAAACGTCATACTGCAAATGTCAAAGGTTTTAATTGCGGAGGGACTCGGCTACAACTTACTGAGTGTCAGTCAGCTGATGGCGAAGGGTATCCACCTCGAAGCAGACAGCACAACACAGGAGTTCAAGCTGTACCACGGGAGAGGAGGCCTATACATCGGCAAAGCCGTGCTAAAGAACAACGTGTTCGTCCTCGACTTCGTTCCAGACTTAGGCACCGCCGACAGCGACGGAATCGTCACTTTCATCTCCTGGACACATCCTCCGGATCTTGACCCCGATTTCAGTCCAGGTGGCTTCTGGTACTCGCACACCATACCTGAAACAGAAAGAACCAGAGCATTAGCAACAATTCAATCGGCAGCAGCAGAGACAACATCGGCAGCAGCAGAGACAACATCGGCAGCAGCAGAGACAACATCGGCAGCCACAGAGACAACAACAACCGCAGATCCTTCAACGGCACCGGTCTTCGACGACAACACACCACCGACTCCTGCGCAGCAACTGAATCCAGCTCCACGAGAAGTTCATCGAAGCGCAAACTATACCGCAGGCTTCTACTCCAACTCCGACATATACCGACGCTAACCCGGACATCACGCTGACGAAGATCTCTGGCATAAACGAATGGGACTTCCGAGTAACAGGACGTTAAATAACACGATACGAGCAGGCGTCCTTGACAAAGACTCGCTACTCTTACCCGACGGCAGAGAACTTTGACGAATGAGAGGAACTTGCTTCACCTGCCCAGAAGCTGACTTACCGCATCAGCCCTTCGTTTCTCACCACAACCCGAGCGCACCAGCTTACGCACCACTTGAGAAAGTGTACAGCGACATCCTGTACAACCGCGAACCTGGACAAGAAGCGTCATCACGTTCATCGACGCTGCCACTTGTTATGTCTGGCATCTCAACCTTCCAAGCCGCGTTATGGCCTTCGAAGCCTTCGTCGCATGGCTTCCAGTAGCAGAACGAGAATCAGGCGTAAAGTTAAAGAGCTTCCAGTCAGACGGAGCAGGGGAATATACGTCACAACAGTTCAAGAACTACCTGGTGGAAAGAGGAATCAAGCGCCTCATTTCCCTTCCTTACGCCCATCAACAGTAGGGTGTAGCAGAAAGAATGAACAGGACTCTTCAGAACACCATGCGCAAGCTGCTACGTGGCATGCGGCTACCCAACCACTAGTGGCCCGAGGCAATGGACCACGCCGTGATGCTGCACAACTTGCTCTCGTCATCATCGCTCCTGAACAACGCATCACCGCATCTGCTGTGGACAGGAAAACTGGGCAGCACAAAAATGTTACGAAATTTTGGTTGCATGGTACAGTACCGACCCCCAGCTGCACGCGCTGGCCGATTCTCCCAACGCGCACAGTGGGGACTACACCTGGGCATTGAAAAGAATTACAACGCGTGGAAGATTTCTGACGTCCACTCAAAGGAAACAGTGGCAGCACGTGATGTCATTTTCTACGAGCGACTCACCCTTTCAACGTACCTGCACAACTTGGAGACTTCACGAGATGTCACAGGCGGATTTCGTGGGGACCGAGCCTTCGCTTCAGCAGAAGATGAAGCTGACCTGGACGAGCAGACCATGGACGGAGCTTCGGAAGAAGCCGGACCACTTCCCTATTGCTCGGTGGACATCCCCATGGATGACGACAACCCACGCGACAGCATCAACGCCGAAGTCTTCTACGACTTCGCCGACAACGGTTACGTTACACCCACCCGAGTAAACACCAACGAAGCCGAACGCATAGGACCAAACTTCTTACCTGATCCAGAAGCCGGAGACGAAGCAGTCTATCCCGAGGATACAACTCTTCCCCGCTACACACAAAGTGGACTCCAGATACTCGGCCTCGTCACCGCCGTTCACGGCACTGCACTTCCTAAGGAGCCTGCCACAGTTCAGCAGGCTCTGGGGGGGGAGCATAAGGAAAAATGGCGTGAAGCCATGGACAGGGAGCTAAAAGCACTGGAAGAACGGAACACCTGGAAAGTCGTTCCCATCGGCGTGGCACGCAACAAAACAGTACTCACCGGAAAATGGGTATTCCGTATGAAGACAAAGGCAGACGGTACCATCGACAAGTTTAAGGCGCGCTGGGTCGTGCGCGGTTTCGACCAAGAGCACGGACGCGATTTCACCGAGACGTTCGCCTCGGTCAGCCGACACACTTCACTTCGAATCCTTCTCGCGATCGCCGCCATGAAGAAGAAGAAGCTGCGGCAAATCGACGTCGCGAATGCATTCCTCTACGCACCTGTTGACGCCGAAATCTTCGTCGAACTTCCACACGGCTCCAACGGAGAGCCCAACCAAGTCTGTCAGCTGCTAAAGTCTCTGTACGCCATCAAACAGGCTCCAAGACTGTGGCAGCAGTACCTACACGCTCGACTCATCCGTATCGGATTCCGAGAGCTACCACACGACCAGGGCATGTATCGGCTCACGAAAGGTAACGATTACATTCTGCTCATCGTCTACGTAGACGACCTGCTCTACATCGGCTCGACTGACGACATCACTACCTGGTTCGAAGGGGAGCTGCAGCAGGATCTCACTCTCACAGTGTCATCGACCGTCACGCAATACCTTGGCCTCAACATCCAGGAAGAGGAGGGCGCAATCTATCTCAACGCCGCGAAATACGCCGACACCATCGCCAAACGCTTCGGACTCACCCCGATCACCCTCTCCACGCCATACCGCTACACCGCAGGAAATCACAAGGCAGGCTCCGCTCCACTCAAGCCCGCCAACATACGCGACTACCAGAGAAAGCTGGGATGCCTCCTCTTCGCAGCCGTCACCTGTCGCCCGGATCTATCCTATTCTGCGAGTCAACTCGCCACCTACCTCAAAAGGCCCGAAGCAGAACACATGGCGGAACTCGACCACGCTCTTCACTACCTCGTTAGCACTCCGACGATCGGCCTGACTTATCACAAGAACGGAACCTCGACACCTAAGTTAATCGGCTACGTCGACGCTGATCACGCCGGCGACTCTGACAACAGGCGCTCGCGCACCGGCTATATCTACCGACTCGAACCTATCGGACCCATCTCGTGGCAGTCAAGCAAGCAGGAGTTAATCGCCCTCTCTTCAGCTGAAGCAGAATATATCGCACTTTGCTCAGCCACCAAAGAAGGACTGTACCTTCGCGAACTCCTGGAGGAAGCGAAGCTGGCTCAGTTACCCAGCTTCTCCTTGTTCTGCGACAACCAGTCAGCAATTCGCATTGCCAACAAAAATGGGTTCGCGAACAGGACGAAGCACATCGCCCTGCAATATTTCTTCGTGAAGGACGAGATCGAGAAGGGGAGACTTGAGCTATCTTACTGTCCCACGTCTGAGATGGCAGCTGATTACTTGACCAAGAAACTCGGAAAGCAGAAGTTCGAGTACTGCATGCTGCTGACTGGACAGAGCCACGTCACCAGCAACAACACTCCAGAAGCGAAGGGGAGTGTTGGAAACAAGTAATTTAAGCGCCTCTGTCGTGTCGAAGCACTAAGTCGTAAACGAAGCGAAACACAAGTGAAGCATCGGCGAGTCAACCCTCGGAGGTTGAGCAACTGCTGGAGGTTACGCGAAAGTCAAAGGTCAGCAACCTTTGACCTGACAAGTACGGCGCGACAGCAAGGACAAACAGCTGACTCGTTATTGAGCAGTTGCCCGAGTCGCAACTGTATCGAACCGCAACAGCAACAGCAAAACAGTTGTTAGCCATAACCTTTCATATTCCCTTGTACTCTTATAAAAGGCCTGCCCTTAGTTTTAATCAAACTACTTTGCCCTCACATACCAGCGCAAGGTGGTTCACAGACTCATCATTAAACGTTTCCGCGGTATTACATTGTTCCTACTCAGAGTTTAGTCCTGCAAAGATCCTAAGGGCTTTTCTCAGCCCAACAACAACAAGATTTCACAATAAATAATATCTACATTTGCTTACAAAAACACACACCCAGTTTCCCCTCAGCGGTAATTGGAAACCGGTTTGTCAGTTCATAATTGCATGCACCCATTAGGGTGCGCTTCTATTCGTGGGGACACGGTACGCATCACCCTTACTGTAGGGTGCCTTTACCGCGAGGTGCCCTTACTGCGGGGTGCCCTTACTGCGGGGTGCCCTTACTGCGGGGTGCCCTTACTGCGGGGTGCCCTTACTGCGGGGTGCCCTTACTGCGGGGTGCCCTTACTGCGGGGTGCCCTTACTGCGGGGTGCCCTTACTGCGGGGTGCCCTTACTGCGGGGTGCCCTTACTGCGGGGTGCCCTTACTGCGGGGTGCCCTTACTGCGGGGTGCCCTTACTACGGGGTGCCCTTACTGCAGGCCCCCCAGTGCCTCTTCCAAGACCTGGAACACCACCTCGTGACGCGCCTCCTCTGCCACTCCGCCCCACACATGGCGCCGTGGGGCCCTGTGAGCTCCTGATACGGCACCACGATCACCCTCTCCCTCCACTCTTGCTGACGTGCCACCGTGTTGAGGTTGGCATGCTCCCACACGTGGTTGTGCAGGTGGTAGTTGTCCCTCGGCACGTTGTACCACTCCTGGAAGAACTGTGCGCGCCAGGAAGGGGCACGGGGACACCAGGCATTGGGAGGGAAGGGGACACCCAGCAATAGAATCATTATCCATGCGAGAGACAATTGGGAAGGGGAAAGAGCAAGCAATGATAGAAACACCGACACAACTGGAGCGAACACTTCACATGACATTACCTGCTTGTGAAGGTCATGTGAAACATGACCTGCACTTGGATACATTGTACCGACCTGAATGTGAAGCTGAGATTGACGCCGTCCCTAGGCATCCCCACGACACTTCTCCCACAAGCGTATAGCCTCAAGCATCACCACAACCGCACAGCACTACTCCTTCCCTCATATGACCCCTCTCTTCCCCTCAGAGAAAGTTGACGCCCCTTGTGTATCGCTCACGTCTCAACCTCACCTATAACCCAAGGCCGCTTCTTTCCCCAACCCTCCACTCCTTCTCTCCAAACCGCACATATGTTGATCCGCTCGTCTGTACGGCCCACCCCCCACCTTGAAGCTGTCGGGCGACCGCCGCCAGAGCATCACACCCGCATTGATGTACCCCGTCTCCTCCCGGAACAGCGTCCCTGCATCCCCATTAAACCCCACTCTTGAGTCGCCGTTCCGTGGTATCAGAGCCACGGGCCCTTCCGGCTGTAGCGCGGTGGACGGCTGTAGCAGCAGCGCGGCGTCCTGTGGGATCCACACCTGCCCCTCCAGAGTGTCGGTGAGATTGTCCCTCAGCAGCCAGTCAAAGTAGTTCTGCAGGGCAGGGGGAGAAGGGGCACAGAGAAGAGGGAGTGGGTCGGACACAAGTGGGATACACAGGGTTGGTACAGGCACAAGAACGCCAATTATAAATCATGCTTCTAAACATGCACAGGCCATTCCGGCTGTAGCACAGTGGGCAGTGGGAGCTGCAGAGGCGGGGTCCTGCACACTGGCAGGTCTGATGGGCACACTGGCAGGTCTGATGGGCACACTGGCAGGTCTGATGGGCACACTGGCAGGTCTGATGGGCACACTGGCAGGTCTGATGGGCACACTGGCAGGTCTGATGGGCACACTGGCAGGTCTGATGGGCACACTGGCAGGTCTGATGGGCACACTGGCAGGTCTGATGGGCACACTGGCAGGTCTGATGGGCACACTGGCAGGTCTGATGGGCACACTGGCAGGTCTGATGGGCACACTGGCAGGTCTGATGGGCACACTGGCGGAATTGACAGGCTGCTTGATGGTTTGGATCACTGAGAGGTTGCTTGATGGTTTAGAGTGGATGCCAGAGCAAAGAATGAAATATTGCAGGGTTGAGGCGAAGCGAGCAGGCACTGACAGGTTGGTTGATGGATCGGATCCAGGTGGGGATGGAGAGGCGGTGGTGGTGCATGCGCATGGAGGCGTCTGAGTCGAGGAAGAAGGCCCACTCGCAGCAACACGTCAGCTGTGACTGCAGGAACGGCACCTGCAGTAGGGCATGCAGGAGAGTTCAGGGAGAGCAGGGGGCGCAGGTGGTGCATTAAACGAGAAAAGGCCCGTCCAAGGCGGTTAGAGGTGGTTAGACACTCACGCTTGCTTTGATGAGCATGGTAAGCCCGCAAATCCCATACCTCGGGTGCAGAGCCCTCACCTTGAACCACGAGGGGTGTCTGTCGGGAGTGTACTTGGATCCGTCTCCACCACCATTCGGTACCCGTGGCGCCGCGCGTACAACCTGTAAGGGAGAGGCGGATGGGATAGAAGGGGGAACTCTGGGTTGACTTGCGTTGACCACATTGACCCGTTCCCCACCAACGCCAGACCAGCCAGACAACGTGCCTTTTCTGTGCAGGCGGCATGCACAGAGATCGTCACGCCATGGCTGGATAGAGCAGAGCAGAGACGTGGGGAGTTTCCAGGATGGGAACCATTCTGTGCATGCCACAGAGCATGTGCACAGAGCGTGTGCACAGAGCGTGTGCACAGAGCGTGTGCTTAAGCAATGACCTCGAGTTCCTGTAGCAAGAGAGCGATGGGATGGCACAAATAAACTATTGTCTGCGTTGCCTGTGTTGACTGCATTGACTGCGTTGACCTCTCTCGAGTATGTGTGCATGCACGTGGCGTGGTGGAAGCAACACATGCGTTCAGGTTAACACGGGTTACGGCCATGGCACATGCGTTCAGGTTAACACGGGTATATATATATACTCTTTGTTGTACTTGTCAACCTGCTGGCTTATCAGGACTTTTCAATTGCAGCTTGTTGTTATAAGTGAGGATCGAAGTGAATAGGATAAGGTTGCCAAGTGTGGAAGAGAGCTGTATGTCTCTGTAATGACCTTGTTGAGAAGAGAACAAGATGATTATAGGATAAGAGTACAAGGATATAAATAGCAATCTAGCTAGCCATGAACTCTGAGGGGTACATTCCCTTATTAACTGAATTGCATTGCTACAGTAACCTCGACAATTGCCATTCTAGACAGTTACCATGTTGCACTTCGTAACTGTCTTGTGCGGTTACTGGGCAGTCAAGGGTCACGACCGGTGACTTGTCTTCGACTGTTGACCTTCGGGTGACCCTTGACATTCCGCGTGCTCTATATGAGCTCATGCGGTACTGACACAAGCGCTTGCTTCGCTATGGAAGAACTCGACAGTGGATAACCTTCGGGAATGCTTATGATAACCTTTCGGTTATTCCAACACTCCCCTTCATTCCTGAAGGTGGGCCACGTGGGACTTCTTGGTGATCCCACAAAGGTTGGCGCAGTGCTGGAACTGTTGACGTGGCAGTTTCTTTGTCAGGAAGTCGGCTGCCATGTCACCAGTCGGGCAGTACGTGAGCTTGACCTTGCCTTTGTCGATTTCGTCCTTGACGAAGAAGTAGCGAAGAGCGATGTGCTTCGTGCGATTCACGAAGCCGGGCTTGTTTGCGATCTTGATCGCGCTCTGATTGTCGCAGAGTAACGTGAAGTGCCCGTTCATCGTTACTTTCGCTTCCTGCAGAAGCTCCATCAGGTACAGTCCTTCGCGAACAGCTGCGCTAGCGGCGATGAATTCTGCTTCGGCTGACGAAAGAGCAATGAGTTCCTGCTTCTGAGAGTTCCAGGAGATGAGCCCAGCAGGTTGAAGCTGAAAAACAAATCCTGTGCGGGAGCGTCTGTTGTCACCATCTCCTGCATGATCAGCGTCTACGTAGCCGTGCAGCTGCAGAGTAGCCGTTAGGTTAGCTTCGTAGGTGAGGCCGACGTCGGGAGTAGAGATGAAGTATTGAAGTGCGCGGCGTAGATCCTGTAGATTCTCCCCTTCAGGTTGCTTCATGTACTGAGCGAGCTGGCTTGCGACGTAGGAGAGACCGGGCCGGCACGTGACAGCGGCGAACAGAAGACACCCGAGCTGCTGCTGATAGAGGCGATGATCCTAGAGAGAGAGAGGTGTGGTGTCCGGTTCGTGGTTAGGAGGAGGAGTGCGAAAGGGTGTGGAGAGGTTGATGGGTGCGATGCCGAATTTCTTGGCGAGTGTCTCGGCGTACTTGGCGGCGGAGAGATGAATGGAGGAGGCAGATTAGGTGATGTTGAGACCCAGGAATTGAGTGACATCGTGGTTGACGGTGACTTCCGACTGCTCCTTGATGTCTGCTTCGAACTGGTCCAGCAGCTTCGTGTCGTCGCCGGTGTAGAGGAGTTCGTCGACGTAGGTGACGAGGAGGATGAACTTGCCGCGCGACTCCTTCCTGTACATCCCGAGGTCGTGTGGCAGCTGTTGGAAGCCGAGGTTCAGGAGTACCGTGTGCAGGTACTGCTGCCACAGGCGGGGTGCTTGCTTGATCCCATAGAGGGATTTTTGAAGCAGGCAGATGGCGCTATCATTCTCTTCGAAGGCATGCGGTTGCTCGACGAAGATGATTGCGTCGACCGGGACGTACAAGAATGCGCTGCCGACGTCGAGTTGACGGAGTGGGCGCTGTTTAACGGCTGCGATGTAGATGAGGATTCGCACTGAGGTGTGCCGTCCGACTGGTGCGTAGGTGAGGTCAAAGTCCACCATGTGCATTTGCTCGAAGCCGCGCACCACCCAGCGCGCTTTGTATTTATCGATGGAGCCGTCCGCCAGTGTCTTGATGCGGAACACCAATTTTCCGCTGAGAATCTTTCTCCCCTTCGCAGATGTCCGGGGAACCAGCTTCTAAGTGCCACGGTTTTTGAGCGACGCGACCTCCTTAGCCATGGCTGCCTTCCACTTCTCACTGTCGGGGCCGGATAGAGCTTGGCGAACATGGTGGGTTCCTTGGGGGAGGAGTGGCGAACAGCGATGGCGAGCCCAAGGATGCGAAGTCCAGTTTCGTTGGTCTTTTCGTAGTGTAGTCGATCGTAGTCGTGGAAGCTAGTTACTTCGACCACGTCGTCGTCGCTTTCGTTCCCAGGGCGGATGGTGTCTTGCGAGGTGTTGGGCTGTGGTAACACGGCATCTGGTGAGTGGCGGGCAACGCTGTCGAAGGCATGGGCATTGCGAGTCGTATCGTCGGGATCAGTTCGGTGTAGCGGAATAAAGGTTGGGGTTTGGAATGAGCTTGTAAGGGGGATGTTGGGTGCGCTGTCAAACTGAGTGACGTTTGCTGCATCCTCATCTTCCGCCAGGTCAGCTTCATCATGTGGAGTTGCGAAGCTGCGGTGTCCCTCGAAGACCCTTTCCGGTGCTGTGTCAGCTTCGCGGTGTTCGTTGAACAGTGGCAGAGTTAGTTTCTCGTAGAAGATGCAGTCACGTGATTTCGTCACTTCGTGTGTCGCGTAGTCCAGCACGATCCACGCCTTGTATTCCTTTTCGATCCCGAGGTGGATGCCCCAACGAGCTCGGTCAGTAAACTTTCCTGTCCTCGCTGTATGTGGTCTGTACTGTACCATGCAACCGAACACCCGAAGCAAGCGCGTGTCCGCTTTTCTGCCCGTCCATGCCTTGTAGGGAGAGTTGTTGTTCTCGAGGCTTCAGGAAGACAGCAAGTTGTGCAGCCGGACAGCGTGGTTCATCGCGAACGGCCAGTACTTTGTTGGGATGGCCGACTGCTTCATCAGAGCCCTCATCCTGGTGGCGAGGCTCTTGTTTGTCCGTTCTGCTACTCCTTGCTGCTCGTGAGCGTAGGGCAGGGACACCAGGTGTTCAATCCCTTTCCTCCTGAAGAGCTCCTTGAACTCGTCCGAGAAGAACTCCAGAGCTCCGTCCGTCTGCCAGCTTTTCAGCTTAAGTCCCAATTGTCGTTCAGCTCGCTTCATCCACGCGATGAAGCACTCGAAGGCGAGTGACCTGCAGTCGGTGTTGATAGCCCAGACGTAGCGAGTACTGGCGTCGATGAAGGTCAGCGTGTAGTATTCGCCATCAAGCCCTTCCTGCGTCAGACACATGAATGAGAAACTTAGAACGAGAATGAATTGACTAAGGAATGAAAGTGATACAAATGTGAAACCCTAGAATTGTGTACCCCTTAGTATCTAACCCGCTACAGCCTACACAGGCTAGATCATATAAGTTTGACACACCCCCATAGGCAAAGTGGGGGAGAACAAGGGGTCACAAGACCAGTCAAGCAAAGCAAGGCAAAGCAAGCTCAGGGTGGATCACAACGTCACCACACATTCTGAGCACAAGTTCAAGGCCACAAGGCCAGTTCACATGCATGAGTACACACAAATATATAACGCTAAACAAGCAAGAGCAGGTATATATATATGTAACAGTACAAGCAAGGTCAGGAAGTGAGCAAGTGAGGCAAGGTAGGTACAAGA